TAGGTAACCTACCCAATTCATTTGCAAATTTAACACCATTAATCTGGGATTGAATAGGGACTGGGAGTGGCAGGCTCATTACAGAAGCAGCTTTTCCTCTCCTGGAATTGACTGACACCTCCTCATCTATTATTGGGAGTGGACTACATCCACCCTGATCGAATTGGTCCTGTCAACACTGGTTCTCCACTTGCGAAGTCACTCCCTGCTCTCCATGTGTCAGTATATAATGCCTGCATCTGTAACTTTCACTCTATGCATCTGAAGAAGTGAGGTTTTTACCCACGAAAGCTTATGCCCAAATAAATCTGTTAGTCTTTAAGGTGCCACCAGACTCCTTGTTGTTCTTGTAGATACAGACTAACACGGCTACCTCCTGATACTTATAAATGCTAAGTCTCATGAACTTTATTATTCAGCTAAGCTAAATCAGTTCCCCTCCCACAGAAAAAAAGAAGCCACATAGCTTTTATGCAGCTCCTTTCGATGTAACCGGGTGGCCTGTTCCTGTTTCCACTGAAATCAAAGGGAATGTAGGGCCTGATCCATGCCCATGGAAAGCCTCCCACTGACTGGAGCAGATGGGTACCCATGCCTACCAGTGCCAGGCCAGATCCTGAAAACCCTTACCCATGACAGGAGTCCTTATTCACAGGAGGATCTATCCTGAAAGATGCTCAGCACCCCCCAAAGACTTAGTGTGAGGGGAAGCACTCAGTAATCACCGGATCAGGCCCACAAGCATGGACCAGCTGCTCACAAGATCAGTCCGTGGGTGCTAAGGGGAACAGAAAGGGGCTTATGCAATGGCCACCAAGTTGGCCGACACCCTTGGGATTGAACCGGGGAGCAGTGAACACACACACTGAGCGAAAGCGCCTGCCGCACGGCTGTAACAGACTCGTCTCCTCAGTGGGTCGGCACAACACACACTGCAACACACTCACCAGTGGGTTACACTTGTTCCCCTTTCAGGGAAAGGTTACAGGGCCACGTGGCAGACTGTTCCCGATAGCATTTACGCTCTACTCCTTCTACTTGCAGCTCTCAAAACACTTCACAACCACTTCTTGTATTGAATGAAGCTTTGACAACGTGCTCGGGCCGTACAAGGCGCAAAGCTGAGCTGGTCCCTGCCCCAAGGAACGTGCTATCCAAGAGACAACCCCCGAGGAGACAGGACATGCTGGGAGATCCAGGGAGGGTGTTCGCTTTGCGGTTTTCTCTCCTTGGGTGTGCTGATGTCTTTTGGGCAGTCTCAGAAGAAGTGAGGTTTATGAGGTCGCTGAATGAGGGGAAGGTGAGACCTGGTACCTGGGCTTTGAAGGTTAATCGCATCTGAAGGGGTCGGGCAACACTTAAGCTATGTCTACACCACAGAGCTGTGCCGGATACATCCCAGTGTAGACAAGGCGTGCACCGACAAATTTTTCTGTTGATATAGGAACACTGCCTCCCTGAACAACAATTGCTATGCCAAATCGGCAGCCCTGCGTCTGCACTGGGCACTTTCTCAGCATAGCTATGGTGGCTGGGGGCAGGGGGGGGGGGCGTGTTTCACACCCCTGACTGATAGAACTAGGCCGGTATGTTTCAAGTGTAGACCAAGCCTGAATCTGGCCAGCTTCTGCTGTACAATTCAACACTATGGGGTATACATATTGGTCACATGTTTTATTCCTATGTGTCCTTCTATAGCAGTGGTTTTCAAACTTTTGTACTGGTGACCCCTTCCACACAGCAAGCCTCTGAGTGCCACCCCCCTTATAAATTAAAAACACTTTTTATATATTTAACACCATTACAAATGCTGGAGGCAAAGCAGAGTTTGGGGGTGGAGGCTGACAGCTCGTGAGCCCCCCATGGAATACCCTCGCAACCCCCTCAGGGGTCCCGACCCCCAGTTTGAGAACCTGTGTTCTGTAGCTTTCATTCATACAACTGAAGAACCTCTGGGAATATCCACATCTTAAAAACCAATCAGTGTAGACTGAGAAAGAAGCATTAATACGCAACCCGTGTCTAAGCAGCCAGACAGTCAAGTCCTACATGTGCATGAAAATGGACAGCAAGACACACACTATGGACTTCAGCTGAGGTGCCAAAATTCCCGTTGAAGCAAACGGGAGAGTTTTGGAGGAACAATCATGCAAAAGCCAGAGACGGGTATTCTGATCTCGTACTCCATATCCCCCATGCATATACACAGGCACAAGTGCACACACATCTGTGGGGTAACAATTATGATCCACTGAAATTCACAGGTTACCGGATTGTGCCTCGTTAGCACTGGTATGCCAACTCCCAGCTTTTCACGGGCTGTAATATTTATACTGCTTTCTGTATTTTTCACTCCATGCATCCCACGAAGTGGGTTTTAGCCCACGAAAGCTTATGCCCAAAGAAATGTGTTAGTCTCTAAGGTGCCACAAGGACTCCTGGCTGTTTTTGCTGATACAGACTAACACGGCGACCCCTCTGAAACCGGATTCTGTTAGTCATTCAGTTTCCAAACAGCGCAGGTACAAGCTTGTGGCGAGTCTCAGACACTACATCAGAGACGCTGACTCCAGGGGTGCTCCGGGGCTGGGGCACCCAAGGAAAAAAAAATAGGGGGTGCCCAGCAGCTACAGAGGTGATCAGCTGTCAGCAGCCGCCAGTCCCCCTACGTGCCTTTGACAGTACCGCGTGGACTGGCCACACGTTTGATTCCTACAGGCGCTTTAAGAGCGGCAATAGCACGCACATGATAGTTATGTTACGGGTGGCCACCCGGCCCAGTGTGAAGACCCGGGACAGTGGAAGCAGCTGGAGGGCGGGAGGGACGTTCTGTGCAGGAGACCCAGCGCATTTCCCCACGGTGAGGGATCCGACCGGGGGATAGGGTGAGCAGATGTCCCGATTTTATAGGGACAGTCCCCATTTTTGGATCTTTTTCTTATATAGGCTCCTATTACCCCCCCACTCCCTGTCCGGATTTTTCACACTTGCTGTCTGGTCACCCTACCCGGTTGCTGGGCTCTCCCCGTTTAGCCCGAGGGGGGCTCTACGTTCCCCCCCCCCCCGCTCTTGCTGGGCAGAGCCTGCCCCTGGCGGGGGTCGCTTCGCCCCACCCCGCCTGCCACTCGCAAACTTTTCCCCGGCAGCCGGGAGCTGCCACCCGCGCGGGGACTCACCGCTCTGGGCGCCGGCCGGCGAGACATCCAGCGGCCGCAGCAGCTGGAACAGCTGGAGCAGCAGCGGCGCCCGCAGCCGGGAGCGCATCGCAGCGGCGCCCGCAGCAGCCCGGTCCGGAGTGACTCCGGCCCCGCAGCGCTGCAGCCCCCGGGCCGCTGCAGCCCGGCGCGCGGGAGTCTCCCCGCCCCTCCCCGGCCATTGGCTGCAGCCGCCGGCCCGGCCCTGGCCACTGGCCTCTCCGCGCTGCCGATCAGCGGGCGGGCGGAGCGGGGGTCCCAGGCTCTCCCCGGCGCGCTGCCCTATTATGGAAGCGGGGCGAAGGCGCGGGCAGGGGCAGGTGCGGGAGCTGGGCTCTGCCAGCGGCGGGACGCGGGGACTGGGACGCGGGAGCGACTCGCCCGGAGGAGGAGGAGGAGCTCTATCGGGCTGGGGTATAAAGTCAAGCAGAAACCTCCGATACCTGCCCCCTAGAGCAGCGGGTCTCCGCCAGGGACACCCAGAGGTGTCTCCCACACCCACCCACCTAGATCGGGTTTCAGAGGGGCAGCCCTGTTCGTCTGTATCAGCAAAAAGAAGGAGGCGTCCTGGTGGCACCTTAGAGACGAACACATTTCTATCTATCTTCCTACTGTATTTTCCACTGCATGCATCCCATGAAGTGGGTTTTAGCCCAGGAAAGCTTATGCCCAAAGAAATGTGTTTGTCTCTAAGGTGCCACAAGGACGCCTCCTTCTTTGTACCTAGATCAGTGTTTCTCACCAGGGGAGCCATGACCCCTGGGGGCTGCAGGACAGGGTTAGGGGGGACTCAGGCCTCCGAGTCCGGAAAGGGGGATAGTCGCTGGGAAAGGTTGAGAACCGCTGCGGGAGAGCAGCCCATCAGTGCTGGAGTTTGAAAGGAGAGGGGCCCCTTCCCCAAACCGATGTCTTCCCCCAGGTTTGGGAGAGGATCAGAATCCAAACCAGGATCCGCACCCAAAGGTCACAACTGAAACCACTATCTCTATACGAGTGGGACACCCCCTTCCCCCCCCACACCCGCTCCATCTAGAAGCCCCCAAACATGAACAGAAATCCAGGATGGGATGGGGGAGCATCTATACCAAACAATATTTACATGTGGGTATTAAGTGTTTTTCAAATGCAGCCACTGTGACCACAGTTGACGGCCATCAGGGGTTTTTCTTGTGTCCACAGCTGCCTGGACAGTGATCGGGGTCGGGGCAAAGTAGCGGCCCCAGCCTCTCTCCCTTCCTGTTGCTCCTGGATGCAACCTCCAGCAGGGGTTGGGCCCTGTCCAGGGCCGGCTCCAGGCACCAGCTTAACAAGCAGGTGCTCGGGGCGGCCAAGGGAGAGGGGCGGCACCTGCGGCAATTCGGGGGCGGCAGGTCCCTCACTCCCTCTAGGAGTGAAGGACCTGCCGCTGAACTGCCGCCGCCGATCGCGGCTTTTTTTTTTTTTTTTTTTGCTTGGGGCGGCAGAAATGCTGGAGCCGGCCCTGGCCCTGTCCCCCTCTGGAGACACCTGGGCCACAACGCTGGAGGAGCAGGCAGCCGGTAAGTTCCCCACCTTCCCTGGGGCAGTGGGGATCAGGCTTTGGGCTTCAGCCCTGGGGTGGGGGCTTCGGGCTCTGACCACCTCCCCTGGACCCCCATCCTTAATTTGCCCCCAGGCTTGCCAGGGCTGTGCAAGTCTGCTGTGAAAAGGGATACTTGTGTGTTTGTTAATATCACTTTTCAGACTTACTTACTAGCTAGCAATAAATACATTACAATGATTTGTACCAGGCCATGTGCACATTTATTTGTTTTTCCTAAAGCTAAGTAAGTATTTTAGGGGAACGTGTGAGAGCAGCCACCAGCAAGGGTTGGTGGCCGCACTCTGAGGCCACCAAAAATTTTGTCCTGAGAACCCATAGAGTCACCCTGGCCTGTAGGAAGGAGCAGATTCCAAGCCCAGAAGGGACCAATGTGATCCTCTATCTGACCTCCTGTATAACGCAGGCCAGAGAATGTCCTCAAAGTAATTCCTCTAGCAGATCTTTAAGAAAAACATCCCATCTTGATTTAAAAATGGTCAGTGATGGAGAATCCACCTCGACCCTTGGTAAATGGTTCTAATTGTTAGTTACTCTCACCGTTAGAAATGGGTGAGTTACTTCCAGTCTGAATTTGTCTAACTTCAACTGTCAGCCATTGGATGTTTTATACCTTTGTCCACTAGATTGAAGAGCCCGTTATAAAATATTTGTTCCCTATGTCGATGCTAATAGACTGTAATCAATCCATCCCTTAACCTTCTCTTTGTTAAGTTAAATAGACCGGGTTCTTTGAGTCTATCACTATAAGGCAGGTTTTCCCATTCTTTAATCATTCTGGTGGCTCTTCTCTGTAGAGCCCTGCACAGATACAAAAATGTGAATCCCCATCTGATCCGCGATCCGCAAAAATTGACTGCGGATATCCATGGATTTGCAGGGCTCTGCTTACCACGGCCAGGATGAGTCTCCGAGGCATCCCCCTGCCGGAGCCTGGTCGAAGAGAGCGTGCGGGCAGCTGTGGGCAGGTGGAGGGACCCAGGCTCCCCACAGCTGCCAGCGTGGCACTCTCCAACCTGGCTCTGTCTCGGGGGGGGGGGCAGCTCGGCGCCACAACCCAGCCATGGTAAGAGCCAGGCGGGCAGCTGTGGGAAGCCGCGGCAGACCCTCCACCTGCCCTGGGCGAGGGACCTGAGCCACCCCTGGCCCATATCCCTGTCCCCCAGACCTCCCCCAGGGCAGGTGGAAGATCCGTGCCGTGGTTCCTCATAGCCGCCTGCCCAGCTCTTACCATCAGAGCCCTGCACAGATACAAAATTTGTATCCTCATCCGCGCTGCTATCCGCAAAAATGGTCCACAGATATAAAGCGGATACCTGCGGATTTGCAGGGCTCTACTTCTCTGAACCCTCTCCAATTTATCAACGTCCGTCTTGAATTGTGGGCATCAGACCTGGACACTATTCTTGCAATGGTCAAACCAGTGCCAAATATGGAGGTAAAATAACCTCTCTACTCCTACTTGAGATTCCCCTGTTTATGGACCTCAGGGTGGCATTAGCTCCTTTGGTCACAGTGTCGCTCTGTGAGCTCTTGTTCAGCTTATTATCCACCACGACCCCTAAATCTTTTTCAGTCACTGCTTCCCAGGAGCGAATCCCTCCCCCTTCAAGTATGACGTGCATTCTTTGTTCCTAGACAGGGCCGGCTTTAGGACCTGTGGGGCCCGATTCCGTGGTTCGGGTCTTCGGCGGCACTTCAGCGGTGGGGGGTCCGCCCCGTGTCTTCCACGGCACTGAAGGACCCCCCGCCGTCAAAATGCCGCTGAAGACCCGGGAGCGGCTCCCCCCGCCGCCGACATGCCGCTGAAGACCCTGGAGCGGCTCCCCCCGCCGCGTCTTCCACAGCACTGAAGGACTTCCCGCCGCCGAAATGCCGCTGAAGACCCCGGAGCGGCTCCCCCCGCCGCCGACATGCCGCTGAAGACCCTGGAGCGGCTCCCCCCGCCGCGTCTTCCACGGCACTGAAGGACCCCCCGCTGCCAAAATGCTGCCTAAGGCCCCGGAGAGGACCCCCCACCATTGCCGAAATGCCGCCGGAG